CGTGTGTGCGTGCGTGCGTGCGTGCGTGCGTGCGTGCGTGTGTGTGTGTGTGTGTCATCCGGGTCCCTTGTGTCAGATCGTTGTGTTGCTGTCAACATTTTTTTCTGTTAATTTGAGTTTGGCGTTTCTGGATTTCGTTTTTCCAGTGTCACCCAAAAAGCATTTTTGTTAATATTTTCTTCAAAGTACTCCCTGCTTTCTTTTTTGGGCCACAAACTTCATATCTCATGACAGCATAGTGCTTGTCCAGAGAAGAAAAAAAAAATCACTTGGCACGCTCTCAGAACATGTTCCCATGTCTTTGCGAATGTTTAGAACTGAATTCCAAAAACTTGTGAACCACTTAGCACACGAAACACAGTAACCAAGTACTTCTCACCATTGCGGATGTAGAAGGTGCACTTCATTAGCGAAAGAGCACCTGCACCAGGAAGATAAGGCTTCATGGTGGTTTCCTTACTTGGAGACCTTGTGTGGTAGAACTATAACGCACTGCTGGACAATTTATTAGGTTTTGCATTCTTTTTCAACATTAGTGTTCAACCCTCCTGCCTTAACTTCCTTATGCAAGTAGCATTTTATGTCTTATTGATGCTTTTTTTTTTTGTTGCTGCACTTCTGCTGCTACTGAGATGCTTTGATTTCCCTCCTGCAGGTGATCAATAAAGCTCATCTTGTTCTTTGCCGGCTTATCGCAACAAGATTCATACAAAGTAAAAATCATTTTTCCTTTTTTTTATGATTATTCACACCATTTCATCACTGTGTCTTTTCGATGTGGTGTGGGATACAGCAAGATTTCTGATGGATTAAATACCAATTAAATACGGGGACCATATTACAAATATCAATACTTTTTCATATTTGCTGTCTATGCAGAGGTTTCTAAAAATTATATTATATATATATATATATAATTATTAAATTATAATTTTATTGGAAAAATCTTTTTTATGTGCGACTGCCAGGTCTTACCGACAGTATAATAAATGAAAGTTAGAAAGTGATTTTTTTTTTTTTTTTTTTTGAGTTGGGCACATTTCAAACTGACCTTTATTTATATATTGATTCAGCCACTGCTCCCACTTTATCTGATGTTTATTTGTTTGGCTCGTAGTGATTGTGTCACTCAAGTCCTGACTTCCGTCTGTGTTTGCTCCATGACATCCAAAACGTTCATAGAAAAAAAAAAAACATCTCATGTCTGAATTGATACGGTAAATACAATGGTTGCTGGGCCAAGGTTTTTACATGAACTCTCTCCCTGTTGGCACCCTGCAAATGATTCACCATGTGTTTGGAGTTTAGCATAAATATTAATGGACATTTCATCATTTTTCTCCAAACAAGGTTCAAAGGCCTTCAAGCAGAGTACTGCAGCGAGGCCAAAGCTGCCAAAAGGGGGTGGGCTGGGGTGATGGCCACGTGATGCTTTTTAGGCAGAGCATTGGTACAGCGTGGCCTGCATCAGTATGCAAAAAAAGAAATGCACACCCCTGTAAATAATACAGATGTGCATTCCGACACGAAGAGGAATCACTTTTGTTGCCATTTTTTTGTACATTTTTCCTCATAAGAAATCACAAAAGTGCAAATGATCAGCTCCAGGGTCAAAACATCCCCGTCATAAAACTTTGACTTAAAGTCAGTGATTTAACTTTAGTGTCACCTCCATTGTGGTACATGATGGTTGACTTGATCCTGTTGTTCTGTCTTCAAGTCTGCTAGCTTAATGCCACACATGATGGGAAGGGCCATCGCAAGCTAACGAATGGCATCATTCGTGTGAAGTTGTAGCCCTCCAAACGATGGATACATATTCTTTATCCTCTGCGAAGAAGGACAACGACTGCTGTGGATTACCGAAAGGCAAGTTGTTTGGTTTGCACTGCTCCCATGTGGCGAATGCCAGAAGGAGCAGCACATTGTCCTTTGTCTTTGGCGTTTTAAGCCAAAAAAAACGACCATGAATAGTCAGCCGATTTGAGCCGAAATTAACGACCATGTATAGTAAGGCGTTTTTACTCGAAA